CTGCCTTTAAATAGATTATTGAATAATTTAAATCTCGATTGATTTCGTTTTTGAGAAGAATTCATTTCATAATTCAATTGTAAAACATAATTAATACTCGATAATGTTATATATATATATTCTTGTTTTTTTATTTAGATGAACTAGTCAATATGATTAAAAGTAATTTATTTACATGTGGTTATACTTATGAATATTTTTTAATACTTGATAATAAAATGGAAAAAGGTAGTCAACAATTACTTATTTGTCTTGGTTGGCTTATTTATCAAATGAAATTAATTGAAAAATGTATGGAAAAATGTTTAAATACCGATTCAATATTTGATTATGATGATACAAATTCACTTTATAAAGTAAATAAAATAAATTTCAAAGAGTTTTTCTTTTCGTTTTTCTTTTTTTTTGTAATAGACAGATAATATTGAACAAGTAAAATATTCATCACAAGAAAAAGATCTCGTTAAACAAGTAAAACAAGCAATGCGTCTTAATTCTAAATTACGTTTTGGTTTACGTCGTCTTCATGGACTTGTTATTGAAAATGCTAATTTACAACATCAAGTAAATTTGAATATTTTTAATAAGAAAAAAAAAATAAAAATTTTACCATATATTTTAGATACATAGTTGTCATAATATGTCATCACTTGAAGCATATCTTTGTCAACATCCTCATCTTTTATCACATGTATATTAGTTTGTTTTTTTATTTTTGAATCTATTTATTCTATTAAGTATATGATTGAACTTGAAAATGAACATCGTAAATTAAATTTATTTCTTTTTTGGAATCAACATGAAAATATTTTTTGGAAATGGATGGTAAAATAAATTATTATTCTTTGATTTAATTTTATTTTTGAATATATTTAGGAAAGTGTACTTGATCAAACAACAATAGAACAAGATAATAATGAAAATATATATGAACCATTACAACAAATTGATTGTCAACGTTTAGAAGCTGAAAAACAAAAATTTAATGCAGCTATTGATACTCTTGATAGTGCACTTGTACGACTTGAACAATTATGGATATCAAATGTGAGATATTCAGATTTGTGTTTTTTTTTATTTATAATGATAAAATGTTATAAGAACTGACTTGAGTATTTAAGGATGAAAAACTTGCAAACGTATTATTTTTATTATCGAATTTGTACGTTACAGAGATGGACAAAATCGCACCGCGCCACTGCTCGCGCCTAGGCGCTACGCACATCTCTCTTTCTCTTTGCTCTACCAATCAGTTTCTCAAACTCCACCGAATACCGGGATGCTCTAAGCATGCGCTCATCGAAGCTCAGACTAGTGTAGCGCAGGCGTGAGCAACGGCGCGAGGAGACGCGGTGCGACTTTGTCCATCTCTGGTACGTTACCTATGAAAACCGATGTTCATATGTCATTTAAATAAGATAAGAGATATTGTCTTTGTAAATTTTTGTATTATTGTTACCTTTCGTGAGACATAATATAAAAGAAACGTTAAACTATAGGGATAGATATTCGTTCTCCTATTGACTTGACAAACATAATCATGAGATTAGTATCATATTTGTTCTTTACACTTATTGCTATATCTTAGATAAGAATTTGTAAACTGAAATATATCTTTCATCAGCTTCATCATGTTTCACATTTAATTCTCACAAGGATTGCGCTTATAGTTTTTTTTGAGTAATGTTCGACTTATCGACTTTTTCAATCTGTACGATAGAAAGATTATACATTTACAATATTGAGTACGAGTATTTTGTCCAGTTTTAAGTATTACTGCCATTTTCGATAATAAAAAAGAATAGAATAATATAAGAGAATATTTATATGTAAGGTTAAGCTTTTTAATGTAAGAGAAATTAACTTACGTTAAAGTATCTGATAACATACAAAAAAAGAAAGGTTGCATATATGCCGCTAGAATAGAATTCATACTACATAAAAACAGATGATAGAAATACACAAAAATAATTAATGAAAGTTGATTGTTTATCTATAGAGTAGAGTAGATCTTATTATGTCACAAAACTACATTTATCTTCATTTTTTTTTGTCTTGTTCTACATATATATCCATCATCTATTTCACTTGTAAAAACATTAATTTTATTCCCATAATCATTAATAATCTATTACACCATAACAGTTATACGTTTAATCTTTATTATTTTCTTTTGTTGTAATATAAGTCTGTCAACATTTGGTCTCTTTCCCTTCATAACCACTATACTAACAAGTAAATTCTACATAGTGTAATACAAGAAAACAATTATTCTGAAATACGTCAGCATACAGTCTGATGGTTTGTTTTAACATATAAAAGATATGTTAATCTATGAATGCCAATCGCTATGCTTCAGATTATATAACAATGGTGCACAGATATAAAGTGCTAAAAATTTCACACTATAAATAGAGGACTCGTACATGATTATAGATGGTAAATATATAACCAATCCATATTGATCATCTGCAATGCATGAAAAGTAAAAGAATGATCATGATAAAATGAAAATGGACACCAAAAAAAAATCAAATTTTTACTTTGACTAAAATATTTAATTTCATCATAAAGAAAAACATATGTATGCTATTATTAGGAGAATGTCTGAAAGTTATTTTAAGACAACATAATGTAGGTGTGCAGGGTTATTTTACCTTACTCTGAGGGGTATGATTTATGACATTTTTCTTATTCAAGATACACAGTACGAAAACAAAAAAAAAAAGTAAATAATATCTCTTTATAAATACTTATGTTCAATTATCTTTTCAAAAAGACTTGAATTTTTTTTTTTTCTTATCTAGAATAATGATACATCAATTGAACGTGATATATCATCTATAGTTATTTCAATTGATACAAAAGTATCATCACTATTCAATCAATTACTTTCTACTAATAATTCATTATTATCAATAAAATCTAATTCTAATCAATTATATTTTCTTCATAAACCATATCGTCTTGTTTATAATAAAAAAAATGATTCGAATAATAATAATAATAGTCATCTTATTAAATCAAATGATTTTGAATATGAAACAAAATGTTTAAATACATTACAAACAAATATTGATCAACATATTGAAAAACAAAAAACAATACTCGATACAATTTCACATCAATTTCAAAATGTTATGATTGTTTAATATATATATTTTTTTTGTATACATATGTGAATATACGAAAATAAAAAAAAAAAACAAATAATAACTAGTCCTATATTATAAATGTATTTGATTTTAGATTGTTTAAGAAACAAAAAAGGAAAGGCATATTATGGCTGAAAAGTTAAATGATTTTGCTAGTCGATTATCTCAAGGAGCACCAAAAAGATTAGGTTTTGGTGTTACATTACTTGTTGGAGCATCGACAGCCATTTATACTATCTATCGATCTATGTTTACTGGTAATAAAAAAAAAGAATGAAACATATTAAAAATTAATTATAATTGAATTCATTTTGTTTTTTTTTTTGTATTTACAGTTGAGGGTGGTCATCGAGCAATTATTTTCAATCGTATAGGTGGTATTGATCTAAATACAATTTATACTGAAGGATTACATTTTAGGTAATAAATAAATGATTTATTTTATAGTGTGTTTAAGTTTATGTTGAAGAAATTGAAAATGTTAATCAATTGATTTAAAATAATTTTACTTTTGATTAATAGAAATGTAAAATTATCAATAGTAAATAAGAGATCAAGGACAATTATTTCTCTTGACAACCGTTAGAACTTTTTGCGTTCTTGATTTGTCAATTTTATAAACATTACTTACTTTGTGTAAACAGAAAAAAATCATGCTATTCTCTTTTCTCTAAAAAAAAAAACAATTTCAATCTTTGAAGGCATACGATAATATATTTATATCTTATGTCCTCTAAAAAAAAAATTTTCCATATAGAATTCCATGGTTTCAATATCCAATTTTATATGATATTCGTGCTCGACCACGTATTATTAAATCACCAACAGGAAGCAAAGGTTAATTATTTTCATTATATTTATTTTTTATTCTTTACTTAGATTTTCTTTTTGTTTTTCTAGATTTACAAATGGTTACAATTGGTTTGTTTTTTCTCTTAAAAATATACATATTTTATATTAGAAAAAAAGATTTTTTTGTTTTTTTTATTTAGCTCTTCGAGTTTTAGCTCGACCTGATCAAACAAAATTACCAAAATTATATCAATCAATAGGTTTAGATTGGGATGAACGTGTATTACCATCCATATGTAATGAAGTATTAAAAGGTGTTGTTGCTAAATTTAATGCATCACAATTAATAACTCAACGACAACAAGTATCAAATTTAATACGTCTTGATCTTATTGAACGTGCTAAAGATTTTGATATTTTACTTGATGATGTATCAATAACTGAACTTAGTTTTAGTCCACAATATTCGGCTGCTGTTGAAGCTAAACAAGTTGCTCAACAAGAAGCACAACGTGCCGTATTTACTGTTGAACAAGCTAAACAAGAACGACAACAAAAAATTGTTTTAGCTGAAGGTGATGCTGAATCAGCTAAACTTGTATGTATTTGTTAATAGATCAAACAAAAAAAAGAGATAAAATATATTTTTATTTTAGATTGGTAATGCTATTAGTAAAAATCCCGGTTATTTAAAATTACGTAGAATTCGTGCTGCACAAAATATAGCTAAAACTGTATGTACAAATAATTATGTTAATGTTTTTAAAATATTTATTCATTTTTTTTTTGTAGCTTTCACTAGGTACTAATCGTGCATTTCTTGATGCTCAAGCATTGATGATTAATATTGCTGATCCTAAATTTGATCAATCAACTGAAGAACTTAATCGCAAACGTCGATAGTTTATCATTTGTTTTTGCTATAAGCAAGGAATAATTTCACTTTTTTTTTTTTTTTTCATAGAAAACACACACAAAAAAAAAAGAAAGATATCGTTGTTTTATTTGATACATATTAAATTGTGTTTTTCATCTATCGTTAATATGTAGATTATGAAACATAGAGCAGCTCGTCGACGAACATATCCACAAGTTCGCGAAACAACAACTGTTATGACGAGTAAATCATTGCCTCATCATAAAGTAAATAAAACAAAAAACAAAGAGTAGTGATTTTATTTAATTTGTTATTTGAAATTTTTAATTAGATCAATCGATCATATCGACCAACATCATTACAAGAACAAACAATTGAAAAACAACAAAAAAGATTTGATAGTAAATTTAATTCTTGTTTTTGTAATAATCAGATGTTAAAAATTTATTTTTAGCTGTTAATCAAATATTAGAAAAAGTATCGAGGTAAGAAATAAGAATGTATATAAAAAAAAAAATTTTTTTTATGTTTTTATTTTGATTAATTTAGTAAGCCAGTGAATAATACATTAAATCAAAATAATAATAATAATATGTCAACTCAAAATAATGATGATGATGATGGATCTGAAGGTATAATATACTTCTTTTTATTTCATAAAACATAATTAGTCCTAGCACGACTGTCACTTATTTTCGATATAGAATTTTCCATGTGAACTTTATCATACATGAAATTGTTACTAGTTTATTATATTTTTGCGCTCTTGAAATCATACATCAGTATTCAAATTTACATAGAACTGCTCTATATAAGACGAAAAAAATGGCATAGAATAAACTGATGTAACCGATGCAGATATAGTTCGATAAAATGCCATGAATATACAAGATTATAATGAATCTCATTGGGTTCCGAATGAACTTCAAATCACTGTCATGTATTCCAGAATAGTCTAATTACATAAAAAAACCTAAAACACTTTATAGATTTAAGAGATTTCATATATCTCTGTTATATATTAGAATTATAAGCAGTGAAGTCACGAAGTTTATGTAGGCTCGAACATTTTTTTTCTCTTTTCATTAAATCGATTGAATATACAGTGTAAATTTTATACAAGTAAAGAAAAACTATACGAACAATCTGAATCAGATTATCCAGAATCTGCCAATCGAAAGTTGTATTCCAATGAACTTTAAAATAATAAAAGATACTATATATATCATTTAAAAACTTATCTTCCTTTATTTTTAACTTCCGACTGAAGTGTTGAGTCAAAACATTTCGTCAATCTTAAAGTTGAGAACTAAATTCATATCTGTTCTATTTATCAATATTGACGTGAATCTTCCTAAGATTCATATAATCCTTAGAATTGAGATTTTATTTCTTCTTTGTTAAATCTGCGACTATTTGAAATATGTGTAGGCATGTCGCAGCAGCAAACTTCTTTTTGGTCCCGATGGTTACATTACCCGCTTCTCTTTGCTGATATTCCTCGCCGTTGTATTGCATCGGTTTTAACCAAGAAGAAAGCGTTATTTAAAAAATCTCTGTTAGGAACGGCAAAGAAAGCGCTTCTTTCTCTAACATTACCATTGTCATCAAGCAATAATGGCCTTGGTAAGCATCGTATGGTGTTAGTATCCACTTTCAAAAAAAAGAAAAACTTTATGAGACGAAGGAAATAAATATTATTTCAATTAAAATAACTAGTTTTTTGTTTAAATTAGAATGATTAATAATTTAATAGAATAAAATATTTTTTTTTTTGTTAGTTTCAATTGTTGGATATCTCAAGGCTAAACCAATTAAATTTCAAACGTATGAATTATTTTAATAATTTAAATATTTTATAATTGATTAATTTTATCTATATATATATATATAGACTTGATGATTTACTTAAAAATTTTCCATCTGTACGTGCAGCACTTTTTAAAAAGTATATTTTTATTTAGTTTACTTGTTTTTTTGTATGTTTAATATGCAAATTAAATTTTTAGACGAACAAATACACCAGCAGTTACATCAACTGAAGTATGATTGATGTTCGTAATTTCAATAAATATACAAAAATTTTTTTTTGTTTTCATAGACGATTACATCCCATTTATCATCCTTACAAATAACTTCACAATCAACAATATCTCGTATTCAATCGACTAAATCAGCTTGGCGTACACGTCGAACATTTGGTATATGATTTAATCTTCTTTTTTTGATCATTCTCAAAGACATTTTCATATGAAATTTTTACTACAAATCAAACACCTAGAATAAGAAGTCATATGTTCGATGAAACTCGGGTTTTGTTCATAGGATTACATTGGGTTCTCTGTCACAAGACTTTACAAATCTTAATAGGAAGATAATAAATGAAAAGAGGGTTGTGGTCCTATGAGAAACTTTGTTTTAAAACTATTATCCTCGAAAATAGAGAAGTACCAGAGATGGAGAAAGTCGCACCGCGCCTTCCCCGCGCCGTTGCTCACGCCTACGCTACACTAGTCTGAGCTTCGATGAGCGCATGCTTAGAGCATCCTAGTATTCGGTGGAGTTTGAGAAACTGATTGGTAGAGCAAAGAGAAAGAGAGATGTGCGTAGCGCCTAGGCGCGAGCAGTGGCGCGGTGCGATTTTGTCCATCTCCGAGAAGTACCCTTAAATGAAAGCAAAAAAAGAAAAAGAATTATCTTAATAATATTCTTCTATAAATCATATTTAGCTTTAACTGACGATGAACTTTCTCTTGTTCAAACAATATTAGTCGGTGATGAAAATGAATCATTTGGATCTATTGGTGATCAACCTATAACTCGTAAAGATATTCGTACACTTCGTGGTCTTACATGGCTTAATGATGAAGTAAGAAGAAGAAAAACGAATAATATTACAATATGGAAGTAAAAACAAACGATTTATTTTTTTTTGTTTTGTTTTTTGAAAAGGTTGTCAATTTTTATTTGGCACTTGTAGCACGTGAAAGTGGTACATCAGGAAATTTACATGTATATGCATTTAGTACATTTTTTTATTCAAAATTATCTAAAGATGGACCAACACATACAAGTTGGGATCGATGGATGAGACGAGGAAATGTAGCCTTTTTTGATTATGATCTTATTCTTATACCTATTCATCAAGGAAATCATTGGACATTAACGGTAAAAAAAAGAAAAATAATATTCAAATTAAATTTGATTTCTCGGTTTTTTTTTTATTTAGACAATTGATTTTCGTTCTCGTTGTATTGGATATTATGATTCATTAGGTGGTACAGATGATATGTGTTTAGGTCGTATTTATGCATTTGTTGAACATATGTATGCAACAAAACGACAAATAACATCTATGCCTGATGGTTGGCGTGTACAACCAATGAATATGATACCTGAACAAGCAAATGGTAGTGATTGTGGTGTATTTGCATGTCAATTTGGAAAATATTTAGCACGTGAATGGCCATTAGATTTTACTCAAGCACAAATGGCACAATTTCGTTTACAAATGATTTATGAAATTTATACTAAACAACTTATTGTTTAAAAATAAAAACGATAAAATATCAATGTTTTCTTTTTTTTTTTTTTTCTTTTCTCTATTTTCTTTCTCTGTTGTGTACAAATTGTATTATTTGATTTCTATTGAAAAAGAAAACAAAAACAAAAACAATAAAAGAATATAATTCTATTAGAGATGTTTATTTGAACAAATATTAATAAACATATATATTTTTTTTTCTTTGATAAAAAATAAATCATAATAATGCGATTTTATGTCTAAAGACATCACTTGTTGTCATCTTAGCTTTCTATTTATTATAAAATACAGGTATAAGCCGATGCATTGATTGTTGGTGATAAGTGAAATTGTTCGTTGAATTTTCAAAAATTTTTGTTCATTTCGAAAAAAAAAAACGATTCATTGACAAGAATCTAGACGATAGTATCTTGAAAACTGATTTGAAACATCAGAAATTTTTGTGTCGTGACGGTTGATACATCTTAAAATTTTTGCGGCTATCATCAGTACTACGACGGCTCAACCGATCGGCTTACACTTCTAATTACAAAATAAACAATAACAGATAGAAATCAAACTACAGCAACAAGAAATCGATTTTAAACTATATTTTAAAATAATCCATAGAGATGAACTTATACATGCATCAATAGAAATAATCCTATCTAAGATAGGATGTGTATGTAGGCTGTGAACGGTGGTGTTGAGCTGTGTTTTCAGAAGGAGAAGCATCACGATAAGATATATTAGATAAATTCATTGAAATGTTCAATGAGAGTGTGGGTCAGAGATGGACAAAATCGCACCGCGCCTCCCCGCGCCACTGCTCGCGCCTAGGCGCTACGCACATCTCTCTTTCTCTTTGCTCTACCAATCAGTTTCTCAACCTCCACCGAATACCGGGATGCTCTAAGCATGCGCTCATCGAAGCTCAGACTAGTGTAGCGTAGGCGTGAGCAACGGCGCGGTGCGACTTTCTCTATCTCTGGTGTGGGTTTAGATATGATAATGCTTGTGAATCATCTCTTAAGCCACAACCACACTGCTTTGTGAAAAACAAGAGTAAATCTGTTCTATGCACATTTGATTTAAATAATGGATGAGTGACAACTAAGTACAGCTGTGCTGGCCGTAACTGACGGCATACGACTCTGTACACGAAGCGACATTGTTTAAGGTGTCACAGGACAAATATTTTTTATTTACCAATATACAACAGATTTCACACTCTACAAAGACAGATATAAGTTTTAATTTCAATACTCACAGTATTTAGTATGTTTATGCACAGCCAAAATTGTTTTACTATAAAATTTTTAATTCTTCGATTTATTCTAGAATTGAAATGAGAATTAATGAAATAAGCTTTTTCGCTATCTTATGTGTCGCACCATATGGACTTTTTTTCGAGTGTTTCGATTAAAGTGACTATTTGTATATAGAAAATCTTTTTTTTTTCAAAAAAACATTAAAAAAAGTTGTAGATTATATTAGCATTTTTTTCTCAAAGTTTGACATTAATGGCAACCTTTGCTATCAAGAATAAGATCATACGATGTTATACATACGCATTTACTATACGTTTTTTTATACACTTCTATTTACTTAATGGTCGCTTCAAGTGTATTTAGATAGAGGTAAAAGAAGGTAAGAATAGATTATTGGCGATGATTATGCACAAATATGCAATCAGAATTTATCTACGGCTTTTTGTTCACCAAAGGAGATATCCATGGTATCTATAGGTCACGTCTCAGAGATTCTTCGCAAGAATATCTCAGATCTATGGTGGGCAAGGATCCTATTTCAAAGGTAAAAACCAAATTCAGCAATGTTCCTTATCCGCCAATGTCCTAATGACTATGCGTAAAATCATGATATCTGAGTTATATGAATTTCGTTGGATTCGACGAGTATATTACGACTTAAGAACTACCATTTATTTTTGGCATTATTCAAAACCAATGACATCTATGGATGTAGAATATATGAAAATCCATAAAAGAATTTCGAATAAGTTCTATCTTTAAACTAGACAGATCGCATAATCAATAAATACATATACTTCAAATAAATGTCCGAAAATATATGATTAAATACTATACCCTATCGATTTATTTAAACTTACATCTTTTATGATCGATAATTATGTTTTTTTATTTGCTCATTTTATGGTTCTCATTGCGCATTAAATTACTATGATCTATAAAAAAAAAAAAAACTTTCTATATTAATGATTCATATTGAAAAATTTTGAATGATTGACGTCGACTATATTTATTCGTTTATTAAAGAATATTTTCATAACCTAGTTCTTTTTTCTTTTTTGTTTCTACTAAATGATTGACAATAATTATTGTTGGGTAGTTTTATTCAAACGAAAAAAGAAAAAATAATCGTACACAATACTTCACTAACATTCACAATCTATTTTCAAATGAAATATATACGATAAATAATTCAATATTTTAAAATAGATCTTATCTTTAACAATTTTTCCATTGTACAATTTTTAATTCTTGTAAATATTTCTGTTCAACACCAGCATTTACAGCTGAATTAATCATTTCATTAATGACTTGTTGACGTTCAATATCAGAATTAAAGTAAGTTCGTGAAAGAAAATTAATACCTGTAAATATTCTTTTATTTAAATGATCAACTTTACATTGATATTGAATAGCTCGATCATAAAAATTATTATTATTTATTTCATTGTTTCTATAATAAACTTTAACAACAAAAAAAAACATACGAAATCATTATCAAATAAAAATAAATTTCTTACCAACAGTATTATTAAATTGTATATGAAAACCTATTTCAGGTATAAAAAAAGGATAATATTTATCATTAACAATTCCATTCATATGTACAGTATAATTTTTTCGAAGCCAAATAGGTTCATATGGACAACTCGTTATAAAATCATCTGAATAGATACTTATATTTGTTTTTGAAAGTTTCCAATTTAAATGTGTACACCCGCAAGCTTTCGAAAATTGTGTATAATCATAAAAAGCTAATTCATACCAAATACCTTCATATAAATAAGGATTAAATTGTGCAAGATAAGGTGAACGTATTAAAAAATCATCAAGTGTTGGACATGGTGGTTCATCACAAATAATATTAGATATTAATATTAACAATAAGTAAGTAAATAGAAGACGAAGCATAAAAGATGTAAAGAACTTTTCTTTTTCGTGTGTTACAATGAAAGATAATAAGTTAGTTATCAATCTTTTATCACATTTCTTTTCTTTATTATTTACTTGGAATACTAGTCTCAATATTTGTGTTAAAACATGAAAAATTTTTCTCAAAAAAAAAAAGAAAACAATTAAATCTTTCAAACATTTACGAGTTTTTTTTTTTTTTTTAACCTTCATTCAAATACTTTAAATGCATACCTATTTCAAAGAATATTTTAATTGCATTTATAATTGCTTAACAACATCTATCAATTACATATATTATTATGATTATCAAACGACAAAGTTTTTTTTTTTTTATATAGAATATCATCATCGAATATAATTAATTGTACATACTCATGCAATCTAACCATTAATTATGCTTTAATGATTGATTGATATGTTCATTTTAATAGTCTCTTCTTTTTTTTTAGTATTCATCAGTTGAATGAGGTTATAGAGAAATACATACAAAAAAAAAAAAATTGGCCTCAGGTTGTTTAACATGTACACAGACTGGATCATTGATCAATTTTGTTTGATGCTCAACCATAACACATACAATCGTTTTTTTTTTTTCTTCTTTTTATCCAAATAAATGTTGACATAATCGACACTGACTTTCGTTTCACATTTCTGCTCATAAGAGTGTATCGTGTATAAAGAATAACAAATCTCTTTGTCCTCGTTCTTATTTACCTTCATTCTTCTCAATCTCCACCAACTCATCGTTGTCGACGTCTTTAGATTGTCATTCAATGTATGTAGGAGAGAGAGAGAGAACCAACAGAGAAAAAAAAAAAGAAAGATACTTCATTAGTATTTAGACGATTGTTTTTTTTTTTTCTCAAAATTTTTGTTTTCTCTTATACATATATTTTAGAAGGATTAAATCAATCCCATCAATCTATGAGTATATGAAGAAGAAAAAATAAAAAACAAACAATTCTTGAGTATAATTTCTTTTTAATGGATCTATAGGTGACAAAAACAATCATTGTCAAGGTAGTAATAATCGATTTTTCTTTTATTTGTAATAAATTGAATTTTTGACATATTTCTTTTATATTAGAAACAAACAATAATGCGGTTATATCTATTCAAGTATTTTCTTTTTCAATGATTTTACAACAAGTAAACATTTTTAAAAGAAAAAAAAAAATGTAATGTAACTTTATATTTGAAAATAAGAAATTTAGATGAAATGATAACAGTAGGATAAAATATGTTGAAGAACAAACATGTAGATTTCTTTTAGAGTATATACAAAGATAATCATTATTCTTTTTTTCTTTTCAAGGCCATAATCAGGTTAGGAGTCTTTTGTAAATCATTGACTATTGAACACTTGTATGTACTTAGTTAGTTGACTCTTTTTTTTTTACAATCATTTTAATATCGATTCAAGAAATTTGAATGAATATCTAACAATAAAGACCTTCGAACTGATTTCTTTTTCTTTTTGACTTAAAGCTTTGAAGTTTATTGTGTAAGCGACAAACAAAAATACAAAGTTTTATTTTTGTAGAACTTGTTCCGATAAATAAATTTTAATTGAAGATGAACAGTAATGATGTTTTGAGGATATTTGAATGAATTTTTTTTTTTGAAATGAACTTTACGAAAGAGAAAAAGTTTTCAAAAAAAAAAAAAAAAAACGTTTATAATTTTTCCGATTGATTACCTATACAAGTATCCATTAGTAATATGATTCATTCTTAAATATTGTGTTTATTGATATGTACTAATAAAAATAATATAAAGTCGTAAAACTTTCACATTAAATTATTCTGATTAATACTTGTCTCTATGTATAGTTTCATATGGAAATTTTGTGTACCCGTAGTAATAGATCAAGGATTCTAAGTCTTTGTATAGTATTTTATAGAGTATTAGCATCTACATAATATACATTGTTTCAATTTGAAAGCTGAAGGACTTTCCTTGAGAGTAGTTTTTTTTCAAGTACTTTTATCATAGATCTATTTTTAGTATAGTACTTGATAAACACCTACGACAATGAAGTGCAAAATACTATTAATATGCGTACCAAAATCAAAGAAGGTTGGATATACACTCAATAACTTTGTAATAGCAATAGATAGGTACCTGCGATTTTCATTCATATCAAAATTGATATTTCATCGAAACGGTAGCAGCATTTTTATTTGTCATTTTTTTTTAGATTCTACCCGTCTGTCTTTAATTCTAATGTGAATAATCAATATTGTCCCTTCTTATTTAATGTTTTTGTTATCTAGATGCATATTTAACAAAATTAAATCATCTATTCTTCGTATTGTTATATGACAAACAACTTTTATCATACAAAATATAAATTACATTTACAAAAAAAAAATCGACATCTATCGTATTCGTTTAAATTATAAAATTTGTCATTGATTGATATCGGTATATGAATGAATAGGAGAAGAAAAAACGAAAAAGAAATGGGTAAATGTGAGACCCCTAGTGATATCTTAAATGGTTGGTTGATATGATGAGACAATGGTCACAGTGAAGACTACGCTATGAGTCGTTTGCACTCTGTTTAATTAATTAAGTGATTTTTCAAGACGACAAAAAAAAAAGAAAGAAACTTTGGTTTTTTTTTTCTTCTTCAGATGTTCGAATCTTTCATTTATTTATTAATTAATTATTTGTTTTATTGGCGATGAACAATCAAACAGATGATATATTAAAAAAACTTGTTATCACTACTCAACCATCATCAAGAAAATCTCGTTCAATAAGTCGTTATTTTCTTGGTAATAAACGTTCAAGTATAGATGATACAATACAAGATAATATATATCGTTGTTTAATATCAGTTGGTATATTTGATTCATATGATTTATGGACAAATGTTACATTATATCATGATTATACAACATGTCGACGTTTATTTATAATAACAAATAAAAATGAATTAATTATTGGTAAATATAATCAACGACAATCATTATTTAAAATAAAACATCGTATTAATTTAAATTCTATATGGTTATATACATATTTAAATGATAATATATCATCTGATATAACATCATTAAATTATTATGATATTCATCGATCATTAATTATTGGTTGGCCATTAGCAGAAAATTTTATTGTAGAATTTGATACAAAATCTATTCGAGATATATGGAAACAACGTATTGAATCGTAAGTTATCAAATGCTAAAGAATTCTTTTTTTCTTTTCTTTTCTTTTGTATAAAATATAATAATAAATATTGCCTTTTGACAAGTGCTGAAATCTGCTCTTGAAATAATCAAAAATTTTTTTGCTGATAAAACTTCATGTTTTATGATTTATCGTTAACATCGTTCGATCTTTATTATTTAGGTTATTCGATACTATAAAAGAATGATATATTTACAGTAGACGGATATATATATATATATTTTTCATCTAACACTTCTCTTTTCTATGATATTTAAATACAATATCAATATTTTTTTTTGAATATTAAAGAAGTAAAACAAAATATATATATATATATTTCTTAATCATATATATAATATTGTATCAAATAAAATTTCTTTCTCTAAAGAAAATTCATCCAAAATTTCTCATTTGAAGACATAAAATACTTATTCTTAAAAATACAGGTAAATACATAGTATAATAATCATAAATATCATGAAGTATAGCTTCCATATTGAATAAACTCATATTATCTATTTTTTTTTTTATTTTATAAACATTTCTTAGTATGATGAAATTTTTTCATCTTTAATCGAAATCTATTAAATTTATTTAGAACACTTCATACATGGTGGCAATCGAATAGATCAAATATTGAACATGTTCGAATTGTAATTGATCAAAATTACGAATCAGATCAAAATAATAATACAGCATCATTTCTTATTGTAAAGAAAAATATATAAAGATAATTAATAAAATTTTATATTTTAGCGTAAAGTTATTGGTATTCGACCACAAGAAACAGTTCAAGATCTTATTAAAAAATGTATTGAAGCATTTCATCTTCGAGTATGTTAAAATATATTATTTTTACTTATTTTTATTTTCTTTTTTGTTTGTTTGTTTATAAAGGATCCATTAGTAGATAATTATATTTTATTCGTAACAAATAATCAATCTAATTCAACAATTCATACAAATCCAAATTCATTTTCACAATCTACTCAAATAACAAATATACCATTAATTGGTTAGTTGAAAATATTTAAAAAAAAAACTTAGAAACGAAAGTAAAATAAGAAACTTCATCGAAATATATATATATAACTAAGGTACACTTGTGTATAAATTTTTCGCTTGTCGCATTTTCTTTTTTTTTCTTTCTTTAATATTTTTTTTCTTCTTCTCTTGTCGAATTACAAGAGTACTTAAGATTTATACGTAAGCAGGAGTCTTTGATTCATTTGTGTGTGTGTGGGTGTGCAAACCAACGTTAGTGTTAGGTTGCTATTATTATTATTATTCTTTATTTCTATTTGTATTGTCTAAAAAACAAAACTAAACATAATTAATCATGAATGAACGTTCACGTAAATCTGATCGTTATCATACAACATTTTTTTCATTATTTCGTGCAGTTACGACAATGCGTTCGAAAAGTCTTGATAATTTATATGATGGTAATCGTCGTAAAGAAGGTAAAACAATGAAGATATGAGATAAAAAAATGTTTTATTCGGTATTTAAATACGAGATTGTCCTTCAATAGATATTAACCTAAAGGAAAAAAAAAAAAGGACAAGAACACCTACATTTGACATTTCCTATAGAATTAGTAAAACAAAAAATGTATCAATGATGACATGAATATGTTAATCACGCACGAAAAATCAATGTTACTAAAAGTTTGATCTGTCTCATTAGACCATGAAAAAAAAAACAAACTAGTAACATACAATCATATATCTAAGCTTTTTTCTCATGTTTCAAAAAAAAGACAGTACGAATTTTGATCATTTTTTTTTTTGTTTTTTTAGGTCACGAATATCCTTATTCAATAAAAATGAAACATTTAAAATCAGCTCATACAATACTTACAAATAATCGATCATTTGATGGTGATGATCATTATTCATATCAAAATCATCATACAAGTTCATCGACTAGTTTAAATAATGTAACAACAACAAATTATCATGATTTTGAATTACGAAAACGTGATGTATTAACTGGTAGAATTTTTATTATTTTATAATCAAAATACATTAATAAAAAAAAAGAAAACATTTTCTTTCATAGAAAATCAAACAAGAAAACATCGATTTTTTCATAAACGAAAAACTAAAATACAAACACAATTAACTGATGAATATCATTCATCATCAACACCATATCTTAGTTCACCTAATCAAGTAAAAAATGATTTAAATTTTTTTGGTCGAACACCCGATGAACTTATTCAAAGATATAATCATCAATTACCACCTGTGATTATGGTATGAAAAAAAATAAAAATATATTATCGATTTTCGTTTTTTTTTTTTGTAGCAATTACTTGAAGTTCTTTATTTAAAAGGACCAGAAACAACAGGCATTTTTCGAAAAGTAGCCAATACACGTTCTGTTAAGGATTGTATTGATAAAATTGAACGTAATATACCATTACAAGATGATGATTTACATCCAATATTAGCTGCTGGATTATTGAAAGTAAGTGTTTGTTTTTTTTTATTTCAAAGAAATTCGCTTAACTATAAGAAACAATAAAAAGGTATATTTCTATTAGGCAAATATAGAAGGTAGGAAGAAGAAAAGATTGAATTTTTGCATTTATTCCTGCATGTCTCAGTTATTGAACCCTCCTGCTTAATATTATCCTTAATTATTTTTTTTAGCATTTTCTACGTACTCTACCTGAACCATTATTTAATTCTATTCAATATGATAATTGGAAAAAATGTCTTCGACTTTCAACATCAATTGAAAAGATAACATTTGCAAAAAAAAAGTAAAAATTTTTTTAATTATTATTATTCTTATTTAACTCTAATATATATATATATATTTTCCTAGTATATTATGTACTTTATCCGAAGCCAATCATATATTATTAAAAGGTTTTATATGTATTCTTCATCATATATCGGAAAATGCTGATATTAATGGAATGAATCCATTCAATTTAGGTTTATGTGTATCGAATAGTTTATTTAAAACAGAATCAACAACAATAACATCTGGTAAACAAGAAGCTGATGTTATGTCATCAATTGTGGAATTTTTAATAGAAAATTGTTCATTATTATTTGGTTCAGATATTCTTACATGTATTACAGATAAACATATTGTTGTTCATCAAATACCAAACTTAAGTATGAGAAATGCAAAAAAAAAAAAACTAATATAATTAATCTGAGATTTTTTTTGATTATTTATCGAAATTGTATTTTTATCTATTCTAGTTCGTCCAACAGCTTCATCAATTGAAAGTCTTGATGAAGTTGAATCATCTCCACATTTACCTATTGTTAATCGATCACATGATTCTGGTTTAGCTGCATCAGATCAACCATTTAATGATGATAGTTCGGAAATAAGTGAACATATTCGACGTAATATTATACCTATAACAAATTCATTACCTAATTGGACATCATCAATAGCATGTGGTAAAGGTATTGTATTAACAAGTATACTTATAAATAATATTAATCCATCAATAACAAAACGTCGTAATTCAAAAATAATTTATAAACCATCAAAACAATTTTTAGAACGTGAAAAATTAATAAATAATACAACAGATGATTCGGATAATAATTCAAGTATACGTTCATCATCAACAACAATACATAATATAACAATAGAAAAATTAAAACGTTCAAAATCTTTATCACGTCATTCATCATTATGTAATGATGAACATAAACAACATCAACAACAAAAATTAATAACAAAAGAATCTCGACGTTTAATAACAAATAATAATGTTAAACGTACATCATCATTAAAACAATTTCATCATTCATCAGATGAAGCTGGTGATGATGATGATGAACAAAATAATTTATTAATAAATGAACGACGAATAAAATTAACTAAACAATTTAAAAAAAATATCAATGAAGAAAACATGATAACAAGGTTTGTTATATACATATATACATGTAAATTTTATAATTTTCAAAATAATTTCTTACAAACAAACAAAAACCCTGCAAATCGAAAGGATAAAGATTTTATTGTGTATATGATAATAAATTTTCTGAATTAGAATTGATTTTTTTCGTCATCTCGTCTTGTCTTAGCTCTATTTAAAAGTATGTGAATAATATTCAAATAAGCTTCAAGCATAATAATACTTAAAAAAATAATCAGTATTTGTTTTCATTGTTGAAATTTTTATAAAAATAAAAGAATGAAAAAAAGAAATCAATAATAGGATAAATTACCTTGAATTTAGATAAAGTGAAATTTACATTTTTTTTTTTTCTTATGAGAAAAAAAAAAAGAAAATTTGCTATGATCAAAAGAATTAATCAAACAAAATCGAAAATTTTTCTTTTTGATATTTACAAACTTTCAAACTTAAATATCAATTGAGATAAGATCAATTATTAGTGTTCTAAATCACTAGTTCACAAAAAAAAAAAACAAAATGAATTGTTTATCTTGTTGAGTGATAAAACATTAGAAGAATTTTAACACTTCAAATGTTTACTGATGTATTTTTTTCTTTGCCTTGAAATGTATATATTGTTTTTCTATGTATTCATTTTATCGAACAAAAGAAAAAAAACATTTGATTTTACTATCAATTCATTAAAATTTCAGAATTGTCAAATTTGCAAGTTTACCAAGATAAAACCTTGACATTAGTAGCGGAACCGGGATCCCGAAAGATGCGCACGGCGATTGTGAGGGTGCGCTGGTTAAGGGTGTGAAGTCCGATTGAGGGTGAGGGTGGTAAGTTTGAAACAGTTCGTTATGTTCCTAAACCCTCATTTTTCGTTCCGTGCGCATCTTTCGTATACCCGGCGGAGCCAAGGGTGGGCTGGGGGGCTCAGCCCCCCCCCCCTCCAGAATCCTTTGAGCTCCTTCCAGGAAAATTTTTAAACCATGTATTTTATTTGCCAACCTGGGCTCAGAGGGGACTGAGTCCCCCCAACTCAAAATCCTGGCTCCGCCACTACTTGACATAGTCTAACTGAAAATAGATAATCATCAAAGAAAAAAAAAAAACAAGAATTGTGTACTCTAGATCAATTTTTTTTGTTTCATGCATCTTTAATCAAAATGATGAAATTTTTATCCTAATATATTATTAGTTAATTAAAATATTTTATTTTGCAGATTTTAAATAGTTTAAGTATAAATAATGGTATGTAAGAGATAGCTGCTCGAATAAAGTTTTTTTTAACTTAGTGCTTTATATAATGAATAATTGATAAATTAATTTTTATAATTTTTGTTATATATATTTTGTCTAAATAGATCAACACCTTCCGAACAACAAGATTTAGATTTAACTAGTGAACCATTAAGTACAATAAATCAACGTTTAACTCCTTCATCTATATCATCACTAACATCTACACGTTCAGCATCATTAACATTAAAATCAACATCAAAAAAATCTGATTTACCTCTAACAGAAACATCGAAACCTATTCAATTAAATACATATCAACAACCTATTATAGCTGATAATCGTTCTCGACATACAACTGGTCCATTAACACCAACAACAAATAATATCTATGTAAAACCTCAATTAAATTCTCGTTATCAATATCTTAATCAAACGAATTTAAATACACAAAAACAACCACCACCACCACCGCCGCCGCCATCCACAACAACAGAACGTGGTCGAATATTTGTTCATCATGCTGATTCACGTCCATTTGTACTTGGTGCAGCTATACAAATGAAACCAATTGATGATTTATTATTATCAAATGAAAAACGTCGTCCATGCCATAGACAAAATGCACTTCGATATAAATCCAATGAACATGAACGACAATCACGTACATCAGCACCAATTATAATAAGTCATAATCCATCACCAATGAATGTTTCACGTTATCAATCAATTGAAAGACGTTTACCACCATCACCACAACCAATGAAACCATTTTCATTTGATATTAATAATGAATTTCGTCCATCTGATATATCATGGTCAGTACGTGAAAAAGCAAGATTATTTGAACATACAAATCAACATAAATTATCGACAGGTCGTGAAAATTATGTATAATATGTTCGTATTTTTTCTTTTGTGTGTGTGTGTGTGTATGCATGTTGAATTCGACAACCGGTGATGTGTGATACTTTCGAGTTTTTCTCTCAATCATTTATTGTTTCTGATGCGTTACAAATGACAAAATGATCAAATCTTTTTCTTTTTTTTTTTTGTTGTGTCTATTCCATCGCGTGCTTCTTAAATTTTCATGCTCAGGTGTTCGAGTTCAGCGGCAAGTTTTTTTTTTTTTTTTGTATATATGATAGATATATGTTGTGAGTTTTTATTATTTTCTTCCATTATCTTTGTTGCAATTTTTGAACATTAGCACAAAGATTTATCTTTTTCTTTTTTGTTGTCTTATTTGGATGATCAATTCATATATATATATACATACTTATCATTTATTATTATTTTTCTTTTCTCGTGTGAAGGTTATTTGAAAAAAAAAAGTGCTCAGTGTTTTTTTTTCGTTATAATGAAAAAAAAAGAGAGAGAGAGAGAGAGAAAGACTATAAGCAAGCAACGAAAATACAATTTTTCTATGAAATGAACAAATAAAATTATGAAACGGAAAATTGTTTTTTTTTGAAATACTCTCTTTCATAAGCACATTTCTCTATAAAGAAAAGAAAACAAATCATATGAACTATAGAGAAATGATTCCATGGGTTTGTTTTTGTTTTATGAAAAAACTATTTCCTGTAAGACAATAGTCTTTCGATTTTGCTGCATTGATAAATTCAAATAGATGTTTGTTCATGTATGAAATAATAGATAAAAATGTTTCGTGACATGGAAAATAGTGACCTAGATTGTTGATTTTGTTTTCCAACTATTTACAATAATAAAATAATTTGAATACATTTTATTACAATTCTCTAATCATATTATGCATAATTTTTTTTTTATATTTGTTAATAAAATTTATGTATAATATATATATATAGCTGATTATTTATAATACGGGAATACATCTATGACTAATTTTTAAGAAATATCACTGTTACAAATCTGATATACAAAGATTACAATTTTGACGATATGTAATAATACCATATAAATATTAATTATGACTAAAAAAAAAAAGGAATGAAAATTTTGTTTTTGCTTAGAGTATATTGTAATCATCATCAAGACGTTTTCCAATTTTATCATTTTGTATTACAACTTGTGTTGTTGTTGTTGTTGTTTTAGATCCAGTTTTAGCTAAAATAAAATTTTCTTTTAATGTTTAAAAAAATAAATTTTGTATAAAAAAAAAGAAAAAAAACACATACAAGAATTTAACATAGTTGCATAATTTTTGTTTGCATGATTTGTTAAGGGCATTGGTGGATGAATACAACGACGACAAATAAGATAAATCATGAAGAGAATAAATACAAATAATATAATAAGTAAAAATGCAGCTATTAAAATACCACGCCAATGTTGACGTTTAGATGTTGTTATACGATTATTTAATTCACTATTTAAAGTTTCTACAATATTATAATATAAAAATATGCTAATATTTTTTTTTTTATAATATTTAATTTTACTTGAAGCACATGAACGATCTGATAATTCATCTGAATTATCCAAACAATGAGGAACACCTATATTTATATTAATATAATAAAAAAAAAGAAAGAAAAATTATAGAAAAAATAATTAAATAAGATATACCATCACATAAAAGTAAACTACTAATACATTCTTTACTTCTACATAGAAATTCTTCATTATTTGAATCGCATGGATGTGTTTTATTTGCTATAAAATTAAAAATAAAAGATTTGTATTTATATAGATTTTTTTTTTTTTTTTACTAAACTTACGATAACGAAAAGCAGTTAGTACAACTTTAAAACCTTGACCATTAACATTTCCACCATCGGTTCTTAAAAAAGAAAAACTTATTTAAATATTTTTATTTTCAAAAACTAAATTTTATAATTCTACTAACGAAAAATGTGCAGTAACAATTCCTGTTGGTGAAATTACATGAAATTTTTCTTGTTCAGTTAATTGTCCACATTCAACAGTATCCTTAAATGAATACAAAAAGAAAAAAAAAAGTTTAATGTTTATTTATATATATCAATATATACAAGTTTATCTTGTTTTGTTATGTAAACTGATTTATAAAAACGAAGTGAATCTAGACAATTAATACCATTATGAATATCATTAAGATCTAATGATAGAATACGAATACGTATTTGATTGTCAGATTGACGAGCCTAGAAAAAGAAATTAACACATTTCAATATTAATAATACATAGAATAATTTCAAACTTTAAATGTCATATAGCAATCTTCATAAGGTAAATATGATTCACGATCAGAATATGAATAAGATTTAAGAAGAGCTCCTTCAATACGATAACCATCTCCACAAACATTTGAACGTTTAATACCATCAATTCGTGCTGAAGTCATGACATCTATTGAAAAAAAAAGGGTACATAATATTTATTTTATTTTATCATAGAATTATTTAAAATTATATTTACATTCATCAGCTCGTCTCATTTGATTATCATTATTATTATTATTATCATCATTTGTCAACGATAATGTTGATGTTGCTTTTGTAATGCTAAATCTCAAAAATGAGACAAGCATTAACAATGGCAAAACATCATAAACAATGTTTTGTGAATAGATAACCATTCAATTGATAAATAAAATGATAATATATAATTATATTTATAATTAATACATATGTTGAACATATCTAAATAAATTCATGTTCCCATAGATTTCATCAAAGTAATATATTATCAAAAGAAAACAACGTGCTTTATGAATTTGACATTTAGTTTAGGAATAATATGTAGCCATGTTCATTATTCGTAGCTAATCCTCGAATGAACAATGGAAAACCCTT